TGGGGCGTGTGTGTATTTGGGTGGCCACCACGTACACACAGCTCGCAGGTACACATTTTATTCCATAACATGCCATCGACCGACCCGTGTAAACTCTGTATACATTAAGACCTTTAGCACAGAGGTGGCACGACAGAATAACATCATTAATCAAAAACAACTAACTATTGTCTTAGGGCTGGTTTATACAACCATATGAGGCAAATCTTATCAGATTTAACATTATCTGATGTGAACAGTACAACATGACGACTTACGAGACTGTTTAAATCTGACTTACTCCCAAACATCGTTTCAGGATATAATGTACGAACGCCTGAAAGCGCTCTGGAGAGTGCGTACAATGAGTGTATCGTACAACGTGTATCATCAGTGTTTTTTTTGACCGTCATTAATTATACACTAGCGGTACGTAGCAGTAACGCGGTCAGCGAAAGTTCTTGAATATATCTTACTAAATTTTTCGAAAATTCACATCAACATCCAATCTGACCGTCCAGGTTTGTTTCTTCTAATTATTGTCGGGCGCCCTCTATAACCAGGTAAATTTTCCAACAGCGTAATGAAGGCCCTCTATGTTTGAATTCCTATAATTCTCAGATAAGAAATGTTATGTAATCAATACAAACACAATGACATTCAATGAAAATTGCCGTTTGCGAAGCGTGACAGTATCTTTCTGGAAGAGGTGGGATGCCAATCTCAGTCCATCAAAAAATAGACAAGCATGGAAATACATTTAGCATAACTGGATTTATAGTTAATCTTTATCGATGGCTGGTTCCCGCCTCAAATGTCATGGCGCACCAAGCCACACGAGGCCGGTAACTAGTAACGGTTCCACCAATCTGATTGGTCCATCATTTTCTCGTTGCTTGTTCTATTTCCCTTGGTTACCCGACGTCAGCTCTAAAGCTTTTACTTTCGAAAGTTGGGCGAATAAAAAAAATGCTTCTTTTCTAATTGAATTTGCACAGAAACAACCAGAAATGACAGAAACATCTCAAATATGTAAGTCTAACCAGGCACAATGTATGGGCTTGGAGTACTGAAGACTTGTTTACAGAAAACAAATATTAGAATGTTTTCAAATTACGTCACTCAGTCACGTGCCTTTGGCCCAGTGGAACAATATGGCGATTACGAGTTAGCTGCGCTATACTTGCCATTCGCAAGGGAAGCCGTGAACCAACAAATCTTCATCGTAGCACGTCACTCATCACCGGAAATCGTGACAAAGCCGTTGAGGGCACATGCAATGGACACAGGTCGCTTGCTGTTTGCGATCTCTCCAATATTCCTTATTTTTGCTTTTTGATCGCGTTTTTCGAAAATCAAAATGACTAGTAATTAACTCCAACGCATCCCCGGACTCGGCGCAGTGCAGCGTAACTCAGAGGACGCACCTATGATGTACTCGGTTGTATCAGAGGTACATTACTTGGGGTTTGCAACTACGGTGACCTGATACCAAGATCCCGTTTCAATCTCGCTCTCGCATAAGCGTTCCAACTCATAAAAACGCGAATGCGCATGCCCGAGGTAACTAAGATACTGGGATGTCCAGGTGGATCAAAATAGCTGCTCACGATATGACGGATTACAATAACTATATTTTCTGTACATTTTCGATGTATTACAATTTTTCATTATGAATGTGGTAATACATGTTTTCCCCTCAACTGTTACTTATTTTAGGTTATTCCATGCAGTTATCATGGCAACAGATACTTCTCCCATTCCTGCAAAGAGAATAATTCTGTGGACTTATGCTCGGACACGATCAACGGTCTTCGAACTGTCAGTTTCTTCAGTGCCAACAATCAAAGTGTTCCACGAGCCATATCTTACGGGGCTGTGGATGGGCGAAGAAAAAGAGCATGAAACATCGATGCCCAGCGTGAAGGGACACAGCAAGGAAGACGTCAAACCTTTACTTGAAGCGGATTATTCAGGGTACGAAGCGATCTTCGTGAAAGATTACGCTTACGCACTGCGTGGTAAAACCAATTACCGCTTTATTCCACGTGGATTTGTCCACACGTTTCTAATCAGAAATCCGCAGGCTGTGATACCTTCTTATTACAAGTGTATCAAAATAGACAAAGAAACCGGTTTAGTGTTACATGATGATGTTATAAAATCAACCATGACATTGGGCGGTGACCCTAAGCCGTTGTACGAGTTATACCAGTATGTAAAAGAAGACCTCGGTCAACAAGCGATCGTCCTCGACTCCGATGATTTGATTGAATCTCCGCGAGACATGATGAAGAAATACTGTAAAGAATCGGGCCTTCCATTTGCTGAATCTATGCTAAACTGGAAGCCCGGTAATATCAGTCATTGGCCAGAGTGTTACCAAGGCCCTGAATGGTCACATTATTTGCAGAGAGCGATCGACAGTTCCTCTTTTGTCGTTAACAAGCACAAAGTCGAGCAAGATAACATTCAGGATCTTCCGGAAAAACTGATACAGTTCATTGAGAAATCAAAAGTTGTATACGAGGAAATGGCTAAATATAAGTTGTAACATCTATTTGTAATACGTATAAATAAACTAGACTAACTAGGCGAAAAGGCGACTACAAAAATGTATCCCCGGGAATATATTCAGGTTTGATTTGAGCATCAAAAGTGGTAGGTGGTAAGATGGAAATGTTGTAATCAAGTCAGACCCAATTTTAAGAGTCGAATCAAAAGCTTCAGTGTAAGTTGGAAATTATATTTCGATTATTTTGAACCACAATCCTTTAAACAATCCATCGTTTTTTTGGCAATTTTAATTTATCGCCATGGCAACGGATAAATATTCCAATGTCATTGAACTACAAGGAGAATGACTTTTAATTTAAAATTCTGTCCTACAATATTCGATTCTTGAAACGGCTTTATGAGCCATTTTCAAATTGGTTGTTGTAGCAAGCAAATATAATATAAATTACGAGCTTATGAGCATTATTATACATCTGTCACCGTAACGCCATAAGTTACAGCGTGCCGTAATTTTGCGGTATTGCACTGGGTGTTTGTATACTACCATATTAGGTAATGCGAATTCCATATATGGAAAGATCACGCGCGTAAGCGTCCTCTAATAATAAAAAGAACATTTGAAGATTTGAACGTCATGCAAACTGAACAACACAAGTGGAGATAATGGCTAATTTGCATAGAACCATTAACCCAGAAAGAATTTTGCTAATATTTATAATTAAAAATGGCTTAACAGTCGCAAATTTAAACCTGTTATCGTTTTGAGAAAAGTTACATAACATGGAGATTTCGTCATCACTTTTTTTACCACGTTTCTTTTTGATTATTTATGTACAGCCTTGCTAAATCTTGCTAAGCATTCAAAAGAGAGAATGTTTGTGCCTGTTTTCTATATTTTAAAATCGCTTTTTGAGTATGTTCCACTACTCACAAATCTAGGATATTTTAACAGTCTCTAGCTAAGACCGACTGTGTTATAAAACGCAAAAAAATGTCACTTCAAGTGCCCACGAACGTGCATCTATACTTTTAAACCAAAGTAATCATAGAACCTCATCGCTTGGTGGCGTAGTTGCCAACCGTCACGGTTGACACGGTAATAAGAAGAATCACAGATAAATTGAAAAAAAGGATTTTTCGTGACGTGCTCAATTAGCGATACACTAATGTAATAACGTACGTACCGTTTTTAACCATGACCAAGAGTGTGAGTTTGTTATCCGGTACTATACTATTAAAATGTGTAAAACATTTCCACTCCATTGCGTAAAAAAAAACAAGAGTAACAGTTAAACAGAACACCGACGGACTGTGAACAGAACGCACAAATGATAACATAAAATCCTCACAAAAGACGACAAAGTACGCAATCATGATGAAGACAAACTTATTATGCAATGAAAGCTTAAAGGACGGTAGTCGTCGTGCCGCGTCCTGTTTGATATGGAACTCATAGCGACGTATAAAACGCGTGTAAAATACATTGTTTATTTACATGAAATTCAAACACGCGCTGCGCCACGACCACTGCGCTTTAATAATAATTACGTTCAAAGTATTATTGGGCACCCATAAAACTTGTAAATGCAATTGTCACACAATTAACGCAGTCGAAATTTCCATCATGCATCGATAACAAAAAAGAAGCGAGAATATCTCATCAATGAATGTCTTACATAATAAATTTGTCTCACTAATGAATGAATCACAATTCACACTGCACAATTCATTCAAAGAAGCCTGAGAAGAACAACACCAACATCAACATCTCTTCAATCATTGAGGTCAACTCATGAATTTCTCAAAATAGAATTTGTTTTCCTAATATTTTATGTGATTTATATTTTACGTGTGTGTGTATTTTGATTCATGTTAACTTCATTATAACTATTTTGTAGTTATTAGTCACCACACAATTGCATTAGAATTTTTTTTATATTTTGAATCGTGATGTCATTTTTTTATTATAATTCCTAGTTATTGTTTTAGTTAGTTTGTTATTGTTGTGCTTTTTTTGATTTAGTTGCACTTTTATTTTATTTTTTCTCTGTTCTGTAGTTTTAGTGACCTTACTGCTGTACTTTCCTAAGTCAGTCACGGTGTAGTCACGGTGTCAATAAATATACTATACTATTATTTGTCGGTCCATGGTTCCAGTCTCTAGCCGATGCATGTTCATTTTATTTGCCATTATCATTATAAATTTGTTCTCTTCTGTAAAATATGTAAAATCATTTATTCGCTTTCCGGCTTTCTCATATAATTTCGTCCTTTGGTAATTATACAAAGGGCAAGTTGTTATAAAATGGTATTCGTCCTTTACTTCATTCTTTGAGCAAAGATTACAGATTTTTTTTCTATTGGTAATTTCGGTTTAGTGTTTCGATATTGAGGTCGTGGTTACTTAAACGGAACCGTGTCATAGGGAGGTTGGATTTATGCGATTTAAAAATATATATATATATATATATATATATATATATATATACACTTGTCTTATTATTGTTACTTTCACTACTGTTATGTAATTCTCCGACCACTAAAAAGAATGGACTGTTTAGTGATCCAAGTGTAACTAGACAAGTATAAGCGATCCCGACCTTTATTTGATTTAAAGTGGGAGAGTTGTCACCTGCGCACGCGCGGAAATTGATTCCCAAGTGACGATAACAACACACGCTAAAAACGCAAAGGCTCATGGGTAGACGCTTGTTTGTAAACAATGACACGCTATGGCCATCTTACGCATGCGCAGGTGACGACTCCCCCGCTTTAAAGTGCGTGAACGAAACTGGGTCGTGGTTTACATTCACGTGAGGAAGTCTGTGTGTGGCCACCGGTGTTGAGGGATGGTGTCGTGGCTAGGTATATAAATCAGGTCCCGATATTAACATAACACTCGACCAAGCATTGCCAACCTTGTGTTGTCACGGAGCCTTTTTTTATAGCTCCACGGTGTTGTATAGTCGAGCGCATGAAAATTTAGTTCGTCGAATGTAATTAAATGACATGCGTGAAACACATGACCCACCATTAAGCGCTGAACGCTGCTTTTGTTTGAATTATTTGATTCTGTGTAATAAACGTTTACATTTATTTCGTTCACACAAAAGCATTTTATTGGAGACCAGTTTGCCCAGCATGTGTGGAGTTCACAAATAATAGTCCTCTATAGAGGGACTGTGGTCCTACGCAGCAACAATGCCCCGAAAGAATCCATGTTATTGCATGGACGTCCATGGTTATTGTAATATATTCTAATCAACTCTGTGTGAAGTAGGCTCTTTTAACAGAGTCACGGTCGAGTGAAAGCTAAGCTGGAGAAGACATGTGCTAACTTGACACCGGTATTCGCTCGTCGAGTACACCTTCACGTGTGGGACGGGGCAGCACAGTATGGTCTAGGAAACTACGCAGTGCAATAAGGTGTGTGTAACTTTTCTATTCTCCATTTCCTTATCGTTTTGCTGGAGTTTGTAGCTGCATGTTACATAGACGACACGCCCTCTTAAGCAGTTGCGTCATCTCTTCTTTTTCCCACATTGCCGTACAGTACAGTACACGTAAACGTTGTTTTGCCCGCTGGATGATTTGGCGAGTAATTTCCCCATCTTACATTTGCGTCTTTAGTTTTCCGGGAAAGAGTTCCTTTTGCACCCCATCCCCACCCCTACCCTCCAGCACCTCCAATAATATTGTATACCCATAGTTATCTAGAGGGGCATTTTGAAATGAATTGGGGGTACTGGGAAGGATTAAAGTTAGGGTTAGAGGCGGGGTACAAAACAAAACTCTTTCCTTTTTCAGTAATTCCACATCGATTATTTAGTCATGAATGCATTTATTAAACCTGTGTTTTGAAATAGGACTTGCAGAAAAACAAATATTTACTCTGTGAGGTCGTGTACCATGCACGTATGCACGTATAAATCTACTGTACTTATAGTGTTGTTAGCGTTGAGTTTGTCGTTGTCAATTCACGTCAGCATTTGTTCCGTGTATCGTTCGCTGTGAGAGTTCCCCCGTAATAATAGTTGGCTCAATACAATACTGAATGACTTGACTCATGTTTTGAATGTAATCCCGATATATCCACAACAGATGACCCTCTAATTGGCACCATTATAACAATGCGTGCCAGTGTCAACTTGAATTGGTTACGGCTCCATGGTTGGTGGCATCGTATTTGAACTTCAAGCGCGGTGGTCGTCGCGCAGCGCGTGTTCGAATTTCATGTAAATAAACATTGTATTTTACACGCGTTGTATACGTCGCTATGAGTCCCATATCGAACAGGACGCGGCACGACGACTGCCGCCCTTTAATTATATAGCCGAGTGCTTTCGGGTCAACCTAAGCCTCGGTCAGAACATGGAAGGACCTTCCATGGTCAGAACGAGGGCGACAAACAGCGAATGACAATTGTCAATTTCAGCGCCATGTTCAGACATAACAAATAAAAAACAACTAGCAAATAAAAGTAGAAAAAAAATAATGGTAAAGTAAATTGGATTGTGTATGTGCAAACTGAAGCAGCATGGACTAAGATGTGAACAAACTTTATCCCGTACTAAGAAAACATGTGTGAACGTTTACACAGGTTAAATTTCTTTTTATAATTTTAACTGTCATTTCAATTTTTGTTTTGGTTATTGCCGTTCATGGCTTTTATTTTCATTTATTAGTTCAAATTTTAAAGTAATGGCACGCGATTATTTTGAACTACTTCGAAATTCTTGATGGCCACTGTCACTGATGGCCTACCATAGTATTAGTGTCACATTAACAATATATAACAATATGTCACGTGACGGCAGTGAAATTTAAAACAAATTCCCGGCATTTTTGCTAATTTGAAAACGAAAGGTGGAGGCCATTATCAACTTATAATAAGGTAATTTCGAATTAGAATTGAAGGTCGTTAATGTTGACTCAATTGATTAACTGGTATACTTATAATAGGATAAGCAATTACCTGTACAACCTTCTTGCAGCTCTTGGATTTTACGAACACAATAATTATGCCAGTCAGAAATTACTTTATCTAAATTTGACAACCTGTTCGACCAATTTTTCACAGTGTCGACATAATTCCTGGTGAGTATTATGTTCAAGATAAATAATAATTCGCGTGTTTTGATCTCAATAACCTAGGAAATGGGTCGGGTCAACCGGTGAAAGTTATTACAAAAGTAACATCAGTGCCTATCACGCATGTGTCAATGTTGCCCACGTTCAAAGATATGTGTGGAATCCCATTTCATTACTCGGCTATCAACAGGTTCAATGTTGGTCTAGTGAGCTCTCTTTTCCACCTCCATGACAACAATCGGGTCATATCTCGCCTCTGTTTTTGCCTCTGATCTGATCTCAGACTAACGCACGAGTCGAGTTTAGGTCCTGACTATCTGTTAGTAGCGTTGACGCACAGCTCCTTAGCACGGGCTAAGAGGTCAAATACCTTAGCCCGTGTCAAGAAAACGTGCGTGAACAGTATTGAAAGACTCGTTCAAGAACCTTAACATAGGTCACTAACAGAGAGACGGGACGTAATCTTGGCACGTAAAGTTTTTTTTTTCCGCACAGTGTCACAAATTTGGAATGTGCACATGTAGTTGTTGGGGTATATAGCTAAGTTGGGTAGAGAGGTATGACAATCAGTAAACGCGCCGAGTATTGGAGTTGGTTCTTATCGTATAAAATACGTTTGTCAGTCAAGCCAAAACATTCTTTGGACTCAATGGTGGAGATGTTGACACTCGGAGCCCTTAAAACATGACTTCTTTTAAAAACAGGCTAGGGCCACTTCAACATGTCAGGATAGGACAAAGGGATTGTTTAGTGTCAGAGTGTTACGAATAATGAGAACACATCAACGTGCATTCAGTGTAGAACTAAAGGATTGATCATTTTAGAGTCCAAATGTCATGAATAATTATAGCTACTGGAAGACAAAACAAAGACTGTTAATTGTAAACAAACTAGAAGACATGTACGTTCTTGTCATGGTAGATCATAATTATTAAAAGATGACACTATTTTGACATCCGCTGTATGTGAACAGACATATAACCGAAATACAACAAATAACCGTAATAGGAATATATACTAGCATCATTTGTATGTTAGGAAAACACACACAAATGATTTATTTACGTCTTTTAGCTTTGTGACAATATGCCGACTCGGCCGAACGTTTACACGCACCGGTCCCGACTACCGATATGTGCAGAGTTATGTAGCGTGAACGCCACTAATGTTGTACGTTTATTTCAATTAATACCGCGAACAAGGTTATAGCAATTTACCATGTTATCGTGGCAGCATTCAGCGAAATTGTCGTTTATCATTATTAGCGTAGGTAGGTGATCTGTTCATATCTGTGCTGCGTCCCATATGTACTTCATATGTACGCCGCTTGGGTGAATTGTTGAATCTGTATTTTGTTAATCAACCCCAGTCGGTATATTTCACCCCTCTCGTCCGTGCTTACTTCAAGTAGCAGATTTCGAATTATGCGATGTTATAATACCATAATTCACATTTATATTCCAGGCTCATCCGAACGCGTGAATCTTTGAACACTCCCCGAGTTCACACAAAATGTTCATGAACAATGTGAAACGACTGGGTAACGGATATGAAAATGGCAACACCGGCAATTTCAAGAGATTTCAGAGGGAGCGGGCTTTCTTGGAAGCAGTACAGTCCGGTAATATGGTTGCCGTGCGCAGCAAACTACGAGATAAATCGAGCTTCGATATCAATTGCGAAGATCGGAATGGCAGAAATGCGTTGAGCCTTGCTATAACCAACGGCCAGTTAGGTATGTACATGTGTGACGTCACGGTCACATATTCCACATGGTTCATTGCAATTAAGTATGCAAATATTTAGAGAGTATGCGAGGGAAAATTCTGTGATTGTATGAATTGGTATGTGTGGTTGAGTAAATGACCTCAAGAATGTATCTGTATAATGATAGATTTTGGTATTTATTTTCCAAACACGCTTTTAGTATGTTTTTCGCAGGTTCGCGGTATTCACTTTTCATATTCGATGAGAGTTCATTGGGCATTGATGAACATATTTTGCCGGTCATGTGATATATTTTATTGTGATGGTGTTTCTGCATATAATGTACTAGTAGTTGTTTGTATCTTCGGGCTTTCTAGAATATCAGAAATAGAGTCGATTTTATGCTGTTTGTACTCATGGGTGAAATAACAACAATATACACATGTTGATCAATTACACCATCTCATCAGGTGATTAGCCCAGCTGTTTATTCCCATAATATTAGCCAGTGATGACCGCATTAGAACTGAGGGCGCGCTTCAATGCCCGGAGCACACAAAAAAACAAGGGAATCCCACACACGGGGCCAAAAACATGTTACAACTCATCTTTGCTTCGTAAATTCCAACTGTCATCATCCCTCTTTCCATTTTGACAAACAACTTGAAAGAAAAAATAAAAGTTATTGCTACCCCAGAAATTACCCCAGTACAGCACGTAAGGACACAACTTTGATTACAGGCGGGAAACCTTCTTTGCACATTGTGAAATATACAACACAGACTTTCAGTTATAAACCACCTGTATATTTCATCGGGAAATTGGAACAAAATTTTATCAGAAGTATTCAAACATGCCATCACTGAGACTCATGGGCACAACTTCAACTTGTTTCTTTGACTACGTCACAGTTCAAGGTTGCAATCACCCCAAATGACGATTAACAGTAAACATTGAATATACGTCATAACGCCTAGAACGGATAAATATGCTATATTGAAAATTATTATTGATTATCATAATAATATGTCACAATAATTATGATTATCAACTATCACTATCAGGTCTCATACTACCACATTGTTTGCCAAATGTCTTTACCCGCGAAGCTTTGCTACAAGGCAGTGCCAGTGATTAGATACTGGCTTTTTTTTTCTGGGAATACTGAAGTTAAAAAAACTTACAAATATGTTTGTTCGGTTTACATCCGTTTCATAGGAGTTTGAGCTTGGCAACGTGCGTTTTTCTGGCAAGAATTTTATTACAAAATTATTTTGATTTTTGTAACCTGTTTTTTTAAAAGAAGTTCACCAACGAACGCAAAATCTAATTTGTGGTATGAGCCGTATCAACATAACCTGAAGCAAATGGCGGTCAAAATCTCGTTGAGAACGAGAGTGTTACGAGACTTGGTTTTGCGTCTCAGTCAGTGTTCCTTTCTGTTTTGGTCATCGTGTCCGTTATTCTACCGTAGACAGTGAGTATGGGTTCCACTGATCTCGGTAACATAGTATTTGGAACAGTCGACGCGATGACGGGGGAATAAGGTAACACTATTTGAGGGGCAAATATAAGTCTCTTGGAGCGTTAACCATATCACACGATTCTATCACAATTATAGACATCATCAGGCTGCTGTTAAAACATGATATAGAGATTGGTGACGCACTGCTGCGTGCAGTCGATGTCAACAATGTGAACGCCGTCGAGATCCTATGCAAGTATGCCGGGGCACGCAAGGTAACGTTACTTGGACAGCAAGAATTCATTGCTCTAAACATTGCGCATGCGCAATTACAATTCTAAATATGGTATTGTGTATGCACGAGTATTCGTTTCATGTGCCCATAAGTGCAATTTAAAACTGCGATATATATGTGCATACATCATCACAAAATCGTATCATTAATGAATAAAAGTAAAAAAAAATGGCAAGGGAACACTTGAATTGAAATATAAATATGTCTTTTTAGAATAAGAATTTGGACATCATCAACGCATCCGCGGACAACCAAGATTTCCCACCTGGACAGACGCCATTGATTCTTGCAGCACATCGTAATAGTTTTGACATATGTAAGGTAACAGTGACGTCATTAACATTTGATACAGACATCATACATGTATGCACACACGCACTGAAAACCTACAAAATATTATTCTGAGTTGACATCTGACGTGCGTTCAACATATCGCTAAGCTGACATAATTTTAGCTGCCATGTACAAGAGGGGACAGGATATTTAGTCACATTTTCCTATACCCATTGCCTATTAATTTACTAGTTTTCTGAGTGATACCTATGTTTTTTTAATGAAACTGATAAGCATAAACAACGGATGAGTATATAAATACATATACATATTTAATATCTACGTATAAATCAATTATATTTACCTAACCAATACAAATAGTAGTAGTAGGTGCGCTTGGATACTTCCGAGAAAACGAATTAATTAGATCTAAAAATATTCGATCCCGTCCTGTCCGGACAATTTTAGAATATTTATCTGTCTATCACAATTTTAGATTTTACTCGAGTATGGTGCCATCTTGGAAGATCCGAATACATTGTCTGAAACACACGGACTTCAAAGATCGCTTGGAGAGCTCCAAATCTACAAGGCCCTAGCCAGCCAGGCATACATCTGTTACACGAGTAAAGATCCGATCAAAACAGCGTTCGAATTGAGCTACAGGCTGCGCAACATGAGTAAAACGGATGTGGAGTTCGGACCGGAATATGACAAACTAGAAGAAGAATGCGAAGCGTTTGCGGCTGCCTTGTTAGCGCATACGCGCAGTGAATACGAGATTACGACTGTGCTAACCCATGACCCTGAAGAATGGGCCAAGTCAGATACTGTGGACACTGTTAAACCCCACAAAGCAGCATTAGCTGTGAAGTACTATCAGAAAAAGGTATTTGGACGATTATGCTTCCCCCGAAAAGACCGACACAATAGACCTGTAGACACCCGATGGCCGCTGAGACACCATTGGAGAGAGAGAGAGAGAGAGAGAGTCATGGGACAATTGCCCCTCAAATAGCGGTCTATTTTCTTTCGTTTTGTTTCTCAGACCATGGACATACTAAAACACTTATTTAGGCATGATATTTCGATCCGTGGAAGCCAGCCGCGATGTGTAGTCTAAGAGACGATAAACACCAAATCACTGTTACTCTGTTTTAGTAACTGTGAGTAAATAGACATATGAAAGCGTTTTTAACATAGTAGTAAACCATTTAAGAGCCGGGAAAAAGAATCTTTGTGGTTTGCTTTGTTATCAATATTATACTAGTACATTGTAAATGTCTATATATACTAGTATTCCCAGTGTGCACAGAAATTGACAGTTCATACTAAGCAAACATGATGGTTGAGGTATGCCTTTGATAACAGAGGCGTGTTATTGTTAAAATTGGCGAAAACACTTCATTATTTTGATAATATATTTTTTTCTACTTCCTGTGGTTCATGAGTCTTTCTCAGTTTATTTGTTAACTTACATATTATATTATTTTGACAGTTTGTAGCGGATCCAAGCTTTCAACAGCTAATGTACAATCGTTGGTACCGTGGTCTTCTTGGCTGGGGCAAGTGGTCTTTTATGAAGCGATGTTTATTTACAATTGCAATAATGTTTGTCTATCCATTCCTGTCGCTGTTTTACATCATATATCCGTTCAGGTCCTTGGACCAACTTTTACATGTACCGTGAGTAAGCACTACTTTTCACACATTTTAAATTAGCGCCCTCAAAGGCGTAGTTATTACTGCTTTTGTTGGATGTACGGGAACGATTTCAATTTACGAACCCCCCTAACTCGAGCGTCACTTTCGAGTTGATACCCCTCGGGAAGCAGGAGGTAGCAGTAGCAGTAGGCAATATCTGGATAACTCAGTCAATGTAAACACAAACAAAAACAAACTCAAGACAGGCGGACAGATAATAACAGGCGAAACCTTTATCAAAAAAAAAAAAACTCGGGCCAAATTGGGAATACTTAGTCCCGCCCCTTCACACCAAACCAAAACATTATATATTGCCTGGCGCACATTTTAACTGGAATTTCATTTTGCCATAATGATTAAAATATATTACAATTTACAGAAACCAGCACCGTTGGCGGCATTTTTTTTATTGATCTCGCGCCCTCTCATGCTGGTCTTGTTTTGTTTCGTTCTCAAGGTACGTTAAATTTCTCATGAGTACAGCATCATCACTGGCGTTTCTGAGCCTGATTGTCCTTGTTCTTTTGCAAGTAGAGTTATGGCCACTTGTCGGCTATGCTGCATTCCAACCGACGTCGTCCGTTAACCCGGCCGACGCCTTGGCATTTCTCGAGCAGATGGACCAGGGACGTGGACGTGCCCCAACACCAACCGAGTGCCTCATGCTTATATTCGTGATTGGTAGGTATCCCAATCGACTCACATTCCACGCATTATGTATTCAACCAAAGTCCCCAACAAAGGATGGACTGTGGTTGGACTTTGACTCAACCAATCACAAGTCTTAGATGCGAATGGCCGCCGACATCTCACTGAGAGCGGGAGTGCCACGAGATCTCAGCGGCCACTTTGCGTCTCAGGTATATTTATCACCATTAAATTACCGACCCTTGTTTTTACCTGAGAAGGAATATTTGGTACCAGCTGTGGGTACCGATGATGTGTGGTGTCATTGGAAAGGTCTGTGCGTATTTTTCAGAACTTTGTGCTAGACTGGTCAAATCTGTAGCGTGATCAACACGTAGAGGTCAAAGTTCACCTGTTATTGTAAATTCTAATTTTAGCGTTTCTGCCCACATATTTCTATGTTTACCGTTATATAGACAATTATACGATTAGAGTCAATACACATTTTAGAACTACAAGATAACTGGCTTATTTGGTAAACAGCGTACATTGGTCACCTATGTTTTGATTTGTTTTAAGGATATGTCAAATAATTAATTTAAAACTGAGATTTAATCACATGGAAGATAGTTTATGAGACAGTTTGTAAATATGTGTTGAGTTAGGGATAATTAATTCAAAAAAGGCCAAATTCGTCAATAGGTTATGATAAAGTCTGATCACTGATTTTTCTATATTATGTTCCCTGTGTGTGAACACGTTGCCATTTAATATGACAAAAAGGATTTTAAATTTCCTCCTCTAAGAAGTAATATACCAATATTATTGGTATCAATATGGCATACGGGTCAATGGACTACAGTAGATAACAACGAACTAGTTCACGCTTTTTTGAAAACACGTTTAAGTTAGCGACCCCCTCGAGTTTACTGTTGTCAAAACTCCAAAACTGAATGGCATAACATTCTTCAAATGGGTATTTATATAATCTCGGCAAAGTTCTGAAATAAGAGGAAAAGTTTGATACATGCTGTAATTGGCACTGGTGGATCCAGACATTGATGGGGGTTCCTATTGATGGAAGTAAACCTCCGGTGGGCTAGGTTTGTCAATTGATTTGTATTTTTTGCGGGCTGAAGGGAGGAGGGCACCTGGCGCGCCTTTCCCTAAATCCGCGCGTGATTGCATAAAACATGTTCGGGGCTTCCTACACGGGTAGCGTTCAATATGCAGCTGAAGTTTTGCAACAAGTTCAGAGGTCATAACGTGATACATTGACAAGGATAATAAAGTGAAAAATATTAACAAACGATTCCATCTGACAAAAACTCTTGAGGAAATGCCAAAAAAATGACATAATCTCGCATTGGTTACCAACATTTTGGAAAACAGTAGGGAACACCCCCCCACTTGATCCACGGGGCGGTAACTATGTGTTCTAATCGATATGTATTTTTTCAGCTATGGCGTGGAGGGAGTTTAAAGAAGTATGGACCAGCGGTTTCAGAGAGTACTGTCGAGACGTATGGAATTTGCTGGATATTATACAACTCGCTCTCTACTTCATATCCGCTGCATTTTTCTTGTATGCCATGGTGATAGCGGTACGTATCAGGTCTACTTGTGTCACAACCCCCCCCCCCCCCGCCAAACAAAGAAAAACAAACACAAACAATATTAAAAGCGTTATACTATTTGAGCCAATAACACGGTATATCACAAATTATATGATAAATATATTACCTAACTTACACATTGTTTATGAAAACTCGCGTTTGTTTCGTGGAAATATATTTTCGATGTTTCCCCTTGCATCTCTCTGGTGGATAATAGACAAGTTTCGTGTCACAGTTTCACAGTTATTTTAGAAATGTGCACACTCTGGTGTAACAATGTTTCGTCTGCATAGGAGGGAGGGTGAGGGTGAGGGTGAGTTGATACTTATCAGTACACTGGAAACCAGGGAAACCGAAGAACAAATTTAGCGAGCTAAAAATCACAAATCACAAACACGCCTCCATTCTCGCACGAAAGCCGAATGATGGCGCTATTCCTCGAAACCTGTCTATTATAAAATGGTCCAATCACCTCAAGATAGTAGATAAAAACTAAATTTTAGCGACATTTTTATTCGCAATGTACAAACAATGTTCACCTGAAATAACAAATCATGAAATGTATTGTGAAAAACAATTTTTTTCTAATTATATAATATCTAAAATCTAACCATTCACCCAATTGTGTGTACAGTCCATGCAGAAGCCAGACATCGTCTTCCCTAACAACACATCTTGGTGGAACCTGACTGTCGCTAATAACACTTTACAAGACTTGCTGGATACTGTAATTCATGACTCAGTAATTAACAAGGAAATTTCACCAAGCACTGTACAGCAGTTCGTGACGTCAGTGACCGAAAAAGCCAATGCTCAGTTTTACATTGCTGCCGACAACGACCAGACGAGAAACTCATGGCCGGGCAACGATCCAAACCTTATTTCAGAAGGTCTTTTTGCATTGGCTAATATTGTGAGCTTTTTACGACTGATCAATATTATGGTAATTAACCGGCACGTTGGTCCGCTTCAGATCTCACTGTGGGGGATGTTCTATGACATTGGAAAGTTCTTGTGTATCTTCTTTTTGATGCTACTCGCCTTCGCTATTGGATTAACCCAACTTTACAAGTTCAATGCCAGTGACGCATCATACGAATGTATGATAGAGGACCCCGACAAGGCATATACATGCACTAATGCATTCGATGGGTAAGTATCTATGCGTGCGATATCGCATATCTAAGTAGGCGATATAATTTGAATCAGGTTTATTTGTTGGATACTGAAAATCCAAGTAGGTTATATTGCAGTATCCAACAACTAAATCCGATATGATTTATATCACCTACTTAGATATGCAGTATCCAACAAATAAACCTGATATAAATTATAACACCTACTTAGATATTTGTTGGATACTACATATCTAAATAGGTGATACAATTCATATCGGATTTAGTTATTAGATATTGCATAGCTAACTGTGACATATGACTATGACACATAAGGTGATACAATTCACATCGAGATTTCGGATATCACATATCCAATAAAGACGATATGGTTAGATTAGTTTACCAGCACGTGGCAGCATGGCCGTTCTGAGGCCGTTACGCAAAATGTAATATGAAGGTATGTGTGTGAATATAACATGGAACAACACGGAATCTAAATAATACCGTGTGGTTCTATTCTAATTGGTGGCAACTATATGGTGAGTAATATTGGTAACCTCGCAAGGCGTTATTTAAACAAGCTTGTTCTACTCGTATTATGATGTCCAGCGACTCTGTCTAGTCATGTTTTGTCTTGGACTTTTCGTTTATTTGACGTAATCAATTTATCAATAAGGGGTAACTCTTGGTCGTTGTATGTCGTGTGTTATGTAATAGTACTCTCTATCGCTGATACCACTCTTCCAATGACAACGCCGCTATTTTAGGCTCGTATACGCCGACGTAACGTCTTTACTCCGGGTTTTCTCTCACGCCGCTGTAAATTACGCCAATAGTCTTAATTTATGCAGATCACATTGCTTCAGATATCCAGCTTTCCTTTCTATGTGGTATGTGGCTCTGGGTGAAAGTTTGATCTGCGGTTTAGATGTTATTTTACAACGATTAATTTAACCTTACTTCCATTTTTCAGACTGATTCAAACGATAAGGACACTCTACTGGTCACTGTTTGGCATGATTAATCTTGAAACTCTACAAGTGGAAGCCAATCACTCATTTACTGTGACTGTTGCTGAATCTCGTATGGTCTCTACCACGTGCTGGCATCATCGTACTTCTCACGCCCTGATTGCTATGATGAGTAACACATACACGCGTGTCGAGGTAAGCAAGTAAATTCCGTCAAATATTCCTTCATTGTCCCAGAATCCATTGCGCAACACTCACCCAGAGGAAGAATAACCGCAACTGCGCATATTGAGTAAACGAGACGTTGCAATTACTAAAACACGCTCAATATAACGTTTTCACGTCACTTCCTGTTCCAGGTTTCTGCTACATTATAATTCATGACATAATGGATAATTAAACGGACAATCCCTGCTTTTTAGGGTACACGGCCAGCTGATGCGGCGTTCGAATTGAACCGGTACCGGAATTACATAACAATACGTATTTAATGCATGCTTATGTAAAAAATGCCGTTGATAATAATTTTAGACCATAAATATGCATGCCAAGGCTCCCTAAAATGAGCAATCGCAAATGGCTGCCGAAGTCCCGACGGGAGTGAGAAAGCCGCGTTACTTGTTCCATTTTCCCACGTCGCCAAGTCCACTTTAACTTTCAAATACCATCGTTACAGCTGAACGCGATGATGGTGTGGAACAGAACACTATTTGCACTGTATTGGAAGTGGCAGAAAGAATACCGGTGGCTCTCTCGCTCACAACAGCCATTTGCGACTAAGGTTCAACGTAATAACTACTATTTATCTGTCAACACAGGAGAATGCCGACTCTGAATGGAAATTCCATCGTACTAGAATGTGGATGGGTTATTTTGAAAACACGGCAACACTGCCACCACCGTTCAACATCATACCTAGCACCAAGGCTATTAAACAGGCTATATGTTGCCGGTGTTTACGAGAGAAGAAGATTAAGGTAAATACACCTACTGATAACATATGTAGAGGGCGTCGTTCGTGAGCTCATGATTGGTAATGGATTTACGACATGCGATTGGATAGGCGCCGATTCGACCAATGAATTCACGTGTATGCTAGGCATTTTACCATTCTATTGTATCGTGGGTCATTCTGCCATTTCCGAAAGAACCCAGGCTACGTGAATGTGTAATATATGATTGAATGCTCGATGAAGTCGTTGTGAAGGCTTGAGCTCCAGATTGAAGACCCGATAAAGTCGCTCGATTTGCATCCTCTATCGAAGAGCACATACGAATGTGGTATCAGTATTGGTTTTTAATGATTATATTAAATATCTTGCAGCATAACTCTGAGATAATAGCTGAATTACAAGCACAGTATGAGGTGAGGAATATTTGATTTCGTTTTACACGTGATTGGAGCCTTTTGTCTCACATTCCCGGCCACTTGAATATTATATTCCCCATCATTCCCACATTGCATCATCTGTAAAGTTCGTTGCGTGTGTTGTACATTGCTAAACGTGTCATGGTGCCCACATCGATGCAAGCGACCGTCCTTCAATTCTCTCGCACTACTACTGCAAACGACTGTTACAAACGAGCTCAAATGATTTGCGCCGATTGCTATTTTTTAGGACGTGGTTCGTCAATTGACACTACGTTACATATCGGATAGACGATCCGAAGTTGACGAAGAAGGAGGACCTCAGTTGACCCATGCAGACATCATGCAATTGAAACAAGATATGTCAAGTTTCAGGTAATGATTTATTAATATATTCATCGATTTAGATATCACCCATCGCCGTGTTTGTCTCTGGTGTATATGCGCATTTACATCAGGCATATGTTATGTAACATACAAACTATTTAAGATTTAATTTGAACATAGTTAGTGCATGAAACGCATTGAACACAAATGTCACTTTTCTCTCCCAAACATGATGATGTGTGCACATAGGGTACCTATAAAACACCAACGATTTATAAGATAAGGGTATGCAACTTTGATATCCACGTACGATCTCGCGAGATTTTAACCAATGGCATCACAGAACGCAATGGACGCTTGGGGAGGGTTCGATTATGTGCAAGACAGACGTGAGCAAGCTTACTGCCATATAAAAAAAAACGCAAAAGAAGCGTAGTAAACGACTTACAGATAAACAAAGGCACTGGCAAAAACGTACGAGACGTACGCTAACCATTTTTTTGAGACACAAATTAATTTTCATTAGCAATTCTAAAAATGTACGTTTGACTTGTGGTTTTGTGATAATCTCGAAAACCTCTAATTCACGTGATATCTTCAACGCATATAACATACTCTCATCTTATACACCCTTCCAGTAAGTTGCGCCATTCAGCGTAGATGCGCTAATGTGACGTCACGGAGACGTAGATAGGTGTAAGCAATGTCGTTCAAATACTGTAAAATCATTTATTTTAACTATCCTGATGTTTTGAGCATATTCACTGTGTTTTAATTTCACGAATTTGTATATACAATAAGTTTTGTTTTTATTTTACATATTCACGTAGATATAATTTTAAATTAGTGGATTTATCCGCGAAAATAGCGAAATTAAAAAAAAAACACAGTCATGAGTGAATCATCAATACCTTTACAGTATACAACTCTCGTCATCTCAAAATCAACAAAACTCTAAAATAATATTTATTACTCCCAAACGAACACAGACCGAAACAAAATGGACGCTACGTGCCTTACAACACCACACCCGTTGACCACTTTCTCGGAAGTCGAAGCTACGGTGTTTTGGAGAGGCGGCGGCGGGTACGAATATTGCATGAGGGGCGAGATCTGAAATCTAGACCCTCTGAAACGCTACATCCTGCATTTTGAGTGGGCAAATCTTGCTAACACAAAGGGTTTCAGCTTGATTTGGGGGGGCGACCACAATATTTTTTTCGGGCGGGCGACCACTCCTTCTGCCCCCCCGTGCCACCGCCACTGTTTTTCATGTGCACGCATAATGGATATGAAGTGCATGCACGACATGATGCTGTGCTTGTGGATGTACCAATCGAAATGACAAAAATAATATTTCCTTTCACCAAATACCAGCAGACTTGCATGTTTTATTTACCGCCATCACTAAAACAGACGCCAAGTTTTCATCCATTTTTCGAATAGTTTTGCTTTGAGACGTACATCGGGGAATGTGGTCTATTTACATCACACATGCCTTTCGAGGGAACCTCTCGTCGCTAGAGAGCGCGACTGTATTGTTTCGTGAACCTGAACATATCCAAGTGGCTTGTGGGTAATTTGTTGTTTTGGCTGCTGGTGTGACCAATCGTGAAATTTCCTTTTGACATTATTTAATATTTTATTTCTAATTCAGGTATGACATTAGTACGGGTATCAACAAAGTGAACGACTCCATGAAGAAGATGCGCATGCGAATTAATAAGCTAAGTCAGAAACCTGTCCCGAACTTGGACTCAATTCCATACATAGATGCAGATGTAAATCCAGATGGAAATGCTGATCCAGTGAACCCCGCAGTGAAGACAAAGCCGATGAATCCTGACAGTGAGGACACCGACTCGCCCGACGAGTATGGCGAAGAAACAGAGTACCAATGGGAGAGCGGTATATGACCACGTGGTCTTAATTGGTTGAACAAACTACCACGATTTTGAATTGAATTGCATGATGGGAGTTATACACGAACCCTATGACCGCGCTCTAACCTTTGTGTGAAACGGAAATGATATCGATAAACTAAGTAAACGTCGCGACCGTCTTTCAAGAGCAAATGCACGGATGAGGTCTTGTGCTTGTGGTATAATATCTCGTTCTCGCCTGTCACAATGCTCATTGTACTAACCGTGGTATTTGAAAAAGTAATCTAAGAATGGAACACTAGTTAAGGAGCAAATCAAATCTCGCGTTCGCAACGAGAACTTAGCGGCCATTGGTATCTAAGGTCCATTGATGAGATGTGCCATATGAGTATGTAGTTCCAAGGCGGCTTCATTAATAGAGACAGAATAATCTGGTGACGTTCTAGGACAAAGATTCAAAAAGCTTTTCCACCAGTGAACATTCAAAAAAAGAGTTATGTATTTTTCTACTTTTTTTTTTTACAAAATTTGTTGTTGAGTGATCGTTTATGTTGCATTTTTTACTTGTATGAAATTAACTTTTGTTTTCATTCTTCATTGCTCTGAAGCAAGTTTGTTTATTGTTTACCTTTGAAATGGGCGTGTTTGTTCACTATGGTAATTACTGTTTATTTTAGAATCATTTAATAAACTAATCTTATCTACTTGGATGGAGTGCTGTGTAATTTGTAGTTTCTACGACACTACAACTAAACTTCACTTAGACGATAATATAATACATCGTTATTCGTGACTTTTTATTTTTCATAGAAACAATTAGTTATGCACTTGAGATATGGTAAGGAGTGTAGATTGTAAAAAAAAGGAACCTCGCCCTTTCATGCAAGTTAAACTTATAAGCAGTGAATTTTTTTCTTCCGGCGGGATCGTAAAAGCTGGCACCTATAGTGCAGGTATTGCCGTGCCTTTCAAGATTCATAACATCCGGGACTCTTTGCAGAACATAATATTACCCCAAGAAAGCCTGGAACTTCCAAATATGCACCATTCAGTCCCCCTCTCATTATACTCAAAGAAGCAGAATTTCTGCACTGTAGCTTTCGTGACCGTCACTTTGAGGTCTTCAGTGAACACTTTGTCACATAATTGTCGTATATTAGCTGAAATGACTCAAATGCAGTCGCAACAACTTTCTTTCCACTTCGACACGCCAACATGTCGAGCGTTATTTAAACAGGCCTAATTTAAAGAGAGAGAGAGTCGTCACCTGCGCATGCGGCCACCCATGAGCCTTTGCGCTTTTAACCGTGCGTTGTTATCGTCGATTGTGACTCAATTCCCGTGCATGCGCAGGTGGCGACCCATCCGCTTTAAAGTTTCGAGATGCAAGAACACGTATAAATCACTACTACAGTTCATTCACACATAACATTATGTATTAAATGGAATATAATAGATAATTGTTTCCCATAAATGATTAACCCACTTTAAATGTTCGTGGCTCATTTTTTAAAGCATTTTAAGTCCTAGCCTGAGTCATGAATAGAAAAACGACAAATAACGTCAACAGGATTGAGTATGAATGTTTGTGTTTATACGCCGCTAGAGGGTGCACTGTTTACCGCACCATCAGCAATTTCAATAAATCAACTTATAATTCTGATTCATATCTACTTTGACCTGATAGGTAACTGTATATTAGAATCACGCGATTTGTTTCAATTCACCGCGTGCACTACAAATTTCAAGTGAGTATTATTAATATTTATTTGGCACTTTTTTGTATACTAAACGGAGTTCGGAGTGAACTACATCTAATCGAACAGTGAACATTTCACGACTTCACTTAAACTGTTATGATTAGGGCCAATTCACAGTTCAACGTTGTTATACTGTTGATCGTCATGAACTTGAACTGACCCCAACCCGATAAGCTGTCGTGGAGTAAACTAGAGTAGGTAATTTCAAACATACTGCTACACCGTTCAAAAGTAAACAGACGACAATGTGTTGACGCACACTGCATTACGCATGCTCAAATGCATGCTAAATATTAAACATTTGCATATGACTCACGGGAGACGTAATGCTCGGTATGAGTAAGTAACACATGTGTGATTCGAACTGATGGCTACGGCACACTAGGACATTTGGCTTAAAGGGCGGCAGTCGTCACGCCGCGTCCTGTTCGATATGGGACTCATAACGACGTTTACAACGCGTGTAAAATACATTGTTTATTTACATGAAATTCGAACACGCGCTGCGCGAAGACCACCGCACTTTAAATACAGACTGAAAATATATGAAAGAATTGCCGTAGTTATTATAGAACAGGACGTTGCTTATGTCATATTACATACCTACCTACTCACCTATCAACTCTTAAGATTGCTTTCACGTGTCGTTTATCTACATCAAAATCTGGATTAAACAGCAACCGGACAAAATCACATTCTGCGATGTGATTGGTCAATCCATGGTCACGTGCGGTTACACAATTTTACATCGAAAACGATAAAAGTTTCGAAAAGTCGCACAAATTATGTCATTTTTGGAATGTTTCGCAAAACCGCACAATAAACACTCTAATGGCGTAATGTACCATTTGCAAACAGTATGGCCGCGTTAAACTCCGCAGACGACAACACAAATGATAATTTTGCATATTTAATTAAGGGTTGGACCATTTAATTTTTGAGGGGGGAGGTCAGCTCAGTGAAAGGCAAATATTTTTTTTTTTTATGTGTTTGGAGATTTTTTTTTATCAAC